ATGCACCTAAGTCCTGATTTTGACTCCACTGTGATCCACAAAAACTCCTGCTGAACCCTGTAGGCAGCTAGGCTCACTTGGTGTCTAAGTTTTCAGGGTAACCATTCCCCCAGAACTTATGTTTCTGCCTCTGAGCATGTGCACTGCTGCCTCATTCTAGGTGTCTAGATGCCTATCTCCTGCCTAAGCCCCAGAACTATTCAAAAACTGGGGAAGACAGGCATTCAACAGCGTATGTCATGTGCGGGGCTTGATCCAGTAGGTGAGCTCAGAGGTTGCCTGCTGGATTGGGTCCCATTTGAAATCATAGAGATGTGGGAAACCCAGGTTCAATTCCACTCTCTGCTAGAGCGGGAGAAGGCATTTGAACCGGTGTCTCTCACCTCTCAAGAAAGTGGTCCAAAAACTGGGCTAAAAGTTATAACTTGGGCTCCTCCTACTCTGTGATTTTGAAGGGGACCTGATTCAGTAGGCAGCCTCTGAGCACATTCACTGTACATGACTTAGGTGATCAAATGCCTGTTTTTCCTGGTTCTTGAATCATACTTAAAAGTTGCAATGCCTTAGTCCCTTCATGGATCCCACCCTGAGTGTCTATGGTAGTAGGTAGTAGGATAGAGGCACATTAATTTGCCTCATTCAGGGCTTGATTTTGTACCGTGGGAGTTTGGTCAGTGACTTCAATGTGAACAATCCCTGAGTGTGCACTTTGCATGGGACAGGCCATTCCACTGGTGCCTACAGTCAAATAGTTGCAGATTTTCTTTAAAATCCCATTGGAAATTCTTTATGAGCCCTGCCTCATTCACTATGGATATTGCAAGGTGTATGATGATTAAAGTAGGTCTGCAAAAGCCCTTCCCTTGTTTACTGTGTATATAAATGAGTTTACTGATTTCTCTCTGGATTTGCAGACTACTACACAGTAGCAGAAGATATTACATGTGTATCTAAGGTGGTAGAAAAAAATATAAAATATATAAAATTAAGTCAATGGCTAAATTAAATATTGCATTTGAGAAATAGTCTGTGATCATGCAATTAAAGTCTACACCATAATGCATATGCATAAAGGGGTGCAGTTATATTTGCACATCCAAACTTAAGTTTAGCATTTTCTGACTGTTGAGTGTTTAACTGTGCTTCTCTTAATGCAGGTGGTGGTTGTTCATTTGTTTGTTTGTTTGTTTAGGAATATAGATTGTATATGCCATCTAGTCTTCTGTGGAATGATGTATGACGTTTGGTCAAATACATTTTGCTTTCAGGATAAATTATAAAGTACT